TTTTTCTGACGTTTATTATTACATTATTTATAACCAAATGAAAGCCAAAGTTTCAATCTATCCAATGAAATATTATATTACGTTGTTTTCTGCACAGATAATTATCAGTTTTGCTTTGAGTTCAAGTTTGATTCCCATCAGAAAGACATTGACAAGCTTAGCTGAATTTCTAATGGCTCATCGCATAGTTGCAAAGCCAGAATAATCGTGATAAGTGATAGTTATGGGACATAGTCTGCTTTTTATATTGTATGATTCTGTGTTCTTTGGAGCATTATTTAATTAAATAAAAAGTTATTTATTGCAGTAGTATAAAAGAGTAGGGTTAAGTGTTATCGACAGTTGACAGCAAAAAAGACGACGACCCAGGTAAGTTCTGTATTTTTTTTTTCATGTGTATTCTTTACTTATTATTATTATAAAAATAAAATGTAAAAATTAGAAACTTTTAAAGATAGATTCAGTAAAATAAAGAATAATAATGATGATAATAAACAATTTTCATGAGGTACACTCACAAGCATCTTGTGATTATGTAATTCAATAGAATAAAACAAAATTTAAGTATAAAGATATGTATACTATTACGATACTTAAACTATTTAGGATAAACAAACAAAGTTTCATGTTACAGTTTGATGTCATTCTAGAAAGAAATAAAGGGTAATTTAGAATTATTTCGATTTTTTTTTGGGTGGCAACCACGTATAGAGTTAGGGTAGAGATAATATGACATAAAATATATTTTTTTCTGAAAAAAAACAGTTGATGTTTATTTAGGAGATTTTAGGGATTATGCAATCAAAATTTTAAAATTTTCAGATGAAGAAAAGTATTCTTAATCTTATTATGAAAATTTCGTTACACTTGGAGCAGTCAACACTCTGACACTATGTAATTAAACAGAAAGTTTTAGTAAAAATACTTAATTAAAAATTCTGATTTTTGGTTTATGAAAGACTTAAGAGTTTACTTTCAGAGTAAAATACAGGTGCCTGTCTTGATAAGGTTAACTGATAGTGCCTCAGTCATTTGTCAAATTCACACATTTGCTGCAAAATTAAACAAAGTTCTTTAGGTGAGACATTTTTGGAACAGGAAATCAAGTAAAAGTGAGTGTTCCATGTTCAAGTTTTGCAAAACAAAATTTTATTAATTTCAAAGCATAAGATCAATTATAAACCTAAAATTAGACCTAATCTAAATTCTCAGCCATCATACCAAGTCAGTACTGAGAAGAAAATTTTGAAAATCTCCTTTTTATAGTTAGGTAATTCCCTAATTAAGTGTCAACTCCAACTTAATCTTAATGTTACATTTAATATATATAATATAATTTCATCATTAACTTAATCACACCTATATCACTTTCTTACAATTTGAAATCTTAACAAAAATTTTGATCACAGATCATATTTTAAGACTTTAAAATTAAAATTGGAGACTAAATGCTTCTATGAAACAGCAACTAAAAACCTCAGTCACTAAGCATTAAATACTGTACTATATGAATATATCATGCATTTCTATCTTCTTCTAATATTATAGTATTTACTTTGAATTAATTCTTTGTTTTGCATATGTGCAGGTTTCACATAACAAGCAGTCAAGAAAACTGTTAAGTTGACTTTTTTTCTAGCTGCATTTGTTTCTCATTAATGCAGTACTGCATGTTATAAAAAGTTGTTGACAGCCATGTCATTTAATGGTTATTCACATGACCAGTCACATAGGTAACACTAGTCAGTCTGGTTAATTGTGAATTTTTAAAAAACTATGGAACATTGGAATTAGACAGTTTGGAACAGGATGCTGAAAAAGAAGCAGCTGACAGAGGACGTGACAGGTAGGTGTGGCAAGAGGGGGTCTGATTTTTCTATTTGATGGCTCTGTAACTAAACAGGATTGAAGCCTACAAAAATTATGGTTTGTCTGAGCAATGACAATTTTATAGTCAGTAATTTACGTTCAACTTCATATTTATTGGAGGAGTGGTGAATAAAATAGAGAAAAGGGGAAGCCCAGAGAAAACATATCACATTTCTCACTCTAGGGAAAATTCAGAATTTTGTTTAATATTGCCATATAAAATTAAGAACTTAAAACGTATATACAATCAACATATGGTTTATGCACCATAAATTTATGCTATACTAATTGGTATGACATAAACAAAAAATAATCTAATTAAATTTTGAATGTAGGTCACAAAACCTCGTGACATGTGCAGTAAAGGATGCCTGTGACAATAGGGTTAAATCATGCCTATGGCCACTGGAAAATGTGTATAGGTTTTACTTTTGTAAACAAAGTTCAGCAGATAAGCTTGAAATTGCTCAAATTGTGAAGTAAGCATGAAGGTTGACACACATATAGATTTTCAAATGGAGTTTCATGTAAAATTAAGACCCATTACAGATCTTGCCCCAAAGAGCAGCCATCTCTTATTCTAATATGGCAGACATTGAAAATTAACATGACTCAACTATATGCTTCAAGTGCACATACAAATGTCATTCAAATATCTAAAATATGGTCATCCACAAAGGTATCCAGCCTTGATCTGGTTACTCCCAACCACATTCACCTGTATTGGTACATTCTGTTCAAACACTAGTGATTGTCCCCATACATAAACAGCCTGATAAGCAGTTCTATTTACATGCTATTCAAGCACAGCCTGCTTTAGAGGGATGTTTTCTCTTGTTCCTGTTCCCTAGGAAAATAACACTTGGTGATCCTGATTCACATTATTAATTGAGCAAGTGCAGCTGTACATTAACACAGTGAACCATTCTATCAGTGTATGATCCTTCTGCATAAAGTATTGAGGTATTACTGAAAGGTTTGTAAACATAGTAGTCACATAACGGTATCCTATCCATGTCTCAAATGCAGTTTCCTTTCCTCATCCACAGAAGGCCAACACAGTATTGTAGCCTATGAATGTGTGAAAAACGGTCAAAGTCTTGCATATGTAGGGATGTAGAAGATGTTTTTGGCAACTTCAAAGGCAATTCATAGCTCTTGATGTGTAACTTGTGCACATGGGTAATTTCTAAAGCTACCTCATCAGTTTCCATTGTAAGTGGTACATATGAATGAAAATACATTAAAGTCTTCCTGCAGTCATTTACTGGTGTACTGGTATTAACTAAGTATCTAAAATTCTATGTGCATTTGAAGCATGTGGGTGTGTAAGGTTAGTTTTTGATGATGACCATATTGGGTTCCAATATGGTGGCTGTTCAGGACAAGATCTGAAATGAGACTTACCTTTATCTGAATCTACGTGTGTACTTATTTTCACGCTTTCCTCCCAATTTGAACAATTTTGGGTGCTTATCTGCTGGACTAAAAGGGTTATTTAATGTATTTCAATTTGATGTCATTCTGAGGGGTTGTTTCATGTTGTTTTTAATGTAACTATTATGAAGGGCATATTTTATGTTAGTCTGATTCTGTAAAGGGTTTACTGAGTTTGTACAATTTGAATTTTTTTATAATTATCATTGTTAAAGTTCTTTTATATAACATTATGGCCTATGTTAAAGGTTTCAAAATTATGATTTTCATTGTTAAAGGTTTTATGCTAGTGCATATATGCTTGCAATAATGTTAAAAGGTTTATTTTTATATTATACATAGTATTATTTTGTTAAAGGGTATTTCTGTCAAATTTGATTATATAATGGATTTCTTTGTTCAAAAGTTCTGACACCTGTGTGGTGTGTAAATGTATTCAGGGGTGAGAAAAAGTTAAAGCACTCCTCAATTGGGGTGCAATTTTAAAAGTGATAAAATAAAGTTAACTGTCAGCTTGAGGACAAGCCTGAAGTAGGCTAGACAAAAAAGTGTGGTATATGAATATCAGAAAAATTTACTTCTTGTTATTACTATGTGTTTATGTACCTTTTCTTTATTTAGTATGATATTTCTTAACATGTGGAAAAATGTATACATGTTAATATGAAATATGCTTTTAAACAAATCTACCTTTAAGATACAATAATGAACTTTTAGTTCTAATATATATGTTTTTACTGTTTTATTTTAACCTAAGATTAAACTAACTGACTCGTAAACTTCTGTTTGTAATTTTTTCATCTGTTAAAACACATTTACGTCTTAAAACTATGTGATAACCCTTGGGTAACTACAGCAACCTTTCATTCATATTAATTAAGCCTGGTTTATCACTGTAATATAAACACTTTCTACCAATTAAACATTTAATTAACCATGTCATATTCAAACAAGTAAATCAAGACTTGCTCTGAGAAAAACTGTAACATGAACATCTTGCAAAAAAACAACAATTACCGATATCCACTCATTCACTTTAAGTCCTGCTTTTAGACATACTTAAATAAGAACGTCTTGCTACATAACAAAGCTTACCCATCTATAACAATTTCTTTCAAGTCCTGCTTTAAGACATACGGAAATTAGAATATCTTGGAAAAAAAAACTTACCCATGTCCAAGCATTCATTTCAAGTCCTGCTTTAAGACATACTGTGACAACAACATACTGAAAAACAAACAAAATGTTTTCTTTTTGAATTCTTAGATTAATATTTCTTGTGACAAAGACAAATTGGCCAAAAATATAAAAGCAATTAACTTCTCACACCACAATCTATGTATGTGTCTGTAAGTTAAATACCTGCTATAATCACTACTTACAGCTTGTGTATTTGTGTGCCATGTCTGTAATTGTAACAGCTGCTACAATCACTACTTACAGCTTGTGTATTTTTATGTGAGCCATGTCTGGAAGTGTAACAGCTGCTACAATCACTACTTACAGCTTGTGTATTTGTGTCCCATGTCTGTAATTGTAACAGCTGCTACAATCACTACTTACAGCTTGTGTATTTTTGTGAGCCATGTCTGTTTAATATTTTCTATAATCACTATTTACAGTTTATGTATCTGTGTGCCATGTCTGGAAGTGTAACAGCTGCTACAATCACTACTTACAGCTTGTGTATTTTTATGTGAGCCACGTCTGTTTAATATTTATTATAATCACTATTTACAGTTTATGTATCTGTGAATGTATCACATCTGTGTGTAATTTCTCAAAAAATTTTGAAACAAAGATTCATTTCCCAACTATTTTCTAAGTTTTTTGTGTAGCTGTCAATCTGCACAGAAGGCTATACAAGTCAAGATTATAATATATTTATATGTTTTTAAATTACGATGATGGTATAGCAAAAGTTGGAAATGTTCTATGTCCCAAGAAACATAAATAAGTAATGCACACAAGAAAATTTTGTTATGATCACTTAGTTTTCAACCAACAACTGAATTTTGAATGGCTTGATATAAAAATATTGCTTCTCTCATCTTTTCTGAGCATTTAAAATCTCTAAATTAGCATATGAAACTTCCTGTAGGAAAAGTGCCAGTTTTCTGACAGCTTAAACTTATGAAACGATTATGTTATTTGTAAACACTGAACCTTATGAAATGTGTAGGGCCACTATTGCCATCAAGGTATAGATAGAGTAACAGATTAGTAATTTTGATGAAGCTGTTCAACTGCTGATCTAACAACAATGTGGGTAGAAGAGTGCTATGTGACTGCTGTTGTTTCATACTTGTTTAGCAAATATTAAAACTGTCAAATCTTATGTATAAAGCAACTGTCAGGGTAAAAACTGAAGAAGATGGTAACTAGGCTCAAGGGCCTTCCTAAAAATCAAACTAAACAAATTATATGCAAAATATGCCTGCTACCTAGCATTTATAATGTATCTTCAATAGTTCAAATGTTTTTGAAAGTTAAACCTATCATGCTACTATGGAAGGCCTTGAAGTAAAATTTTTCAGCAATCAGTAATTTGTTGCATGATTTAACCTTACAAAATTACTATTTTATTTTTAAAAACCCAGAATCCATTTATAGATTATCACGAAAATTTAAAAAAAAGTAAATATGACATGAATACAATTTCAAATAAATTTTTTTTGAAGATATTAATTTGGAAATATGGGCATCTTTCAACTAACAGTGAGTTACACAAAAACAGGTACTTACAGTATACACCATGTTCCCAAAAACTAAATAGTCTCCACTCAATCCACTTCCCCATTCAATATCTGTTGAAAAATTGATTCATTTAGGTTTCAGCCAAATGTGAATAATAGCACATAGTAAAAGTATAGGGTAAAACTAATCAAGCTTAAACTAATGACTGTTTGTTTGTTTTTGAATTTCGCGCAAAGCTACACGAGGGCTATCTGCGCTAGCCGTCCCTAATTTAGCAGTTATAGACTAGAGGGAAGGCAGCTAGTCATCACCACCCACCACCAACTCTTGGGCTACTCTTTTACCAATGAACAGTGGGATTGACCGTCACATTATAATGCCCCCACAGCTGAAAGGGGCAAGCATGTTTGGTGTGACGGGGATTCGAACCCGCGACCCTCAGATTGCGAGTCGAGTGCCTTAACCACCTGGCCATGCCGGGCCACTAATGACTGATATCTAATATTATACTAAAACAAACATAATAAAAGACCATACTAAAAAATCTGAAGCTATGAAACACAAAATGGCTTACTGTAGATGTTTATTTACATGTATTAAACAAGACCTTTCACAGTTACATTTTAGTTAAAAAAAAACTGGTATGAGCAAGGTTTTCTTCTTTTATATATAGGTACATCATTTACAATTTGTTTTCTTCCAAATGGTACTCTGGTCTAATATTTTCCTTACACAACATACACATATGCAAAATAAAAATAAAAACACTGTTATGGAATGCTGAAACACAATGAACTTGAAAGCACTATAGGGTTGTTTATGAATTTCGTGCAAAGCTACAGGAGGGTTATCTGCACTAACTGTCCCTAATTTAGCAGTGAAAAACTAAAAGGAAGGCAGCTAGCCATCAACACCAACTGCCAACTCTTGGGCTACTCTTTTACCAACAAATAGTGGGATTGATTGTCACATTATAACATCCCCATGGCTAAATGGGAGAGCATGTTTTGTGGGACGGGGATTCGAACCTGCGACCCGCAGATTGAGAGTCAAACACCCTAACCACCTGGCCATGCCAGGCCTGCATTATAGGAAATGATATAATAACTTATGTATTTGCAAAATAAAGCATTATACCATTCTAATCCCAAAACACCTGTAAATGATAGCCAGATGTGAGTATGAAGTCATAATTGCACAATAAATAATGAAATGGATTAAGAATTCTTAATGTAATATATTTTTCTAACAACAGAACACTGACAATAATCATCTTGTAAAAGTTATCATGATACATAAATGACAGGTTGTTTGTTTATTGTTTAAAGGCACAAAGCTACAGAATGGGCTATATGTGCTCTGTCCACCATGGGTACTGAAACCCAGTTTCTAGCATCGTAAGTCCGCAGACATACCGCTTTGCCACTGGCACGCCATAAATGATAGAATGATATATGTCTGTTTATATTATAGGAGAAGGACAAATACATTTTCAGAAAACAATATGAGGTTATTCTTTTTTTTTAAAGTTGCCTTAATTACAAAATATGCTCAGGATAATCTAATGTCTAATGGATGACAATGAAGGTTTGGTATATAGACAGTGCTAAGTTTTAACATTTAGAAGCAAACAACATCTATGCTGTGAAATCATCTGTTTTATTATGTATTCCTAATACAAAAGTCCATCGATGATTTTAAGAAAACTGTTGCTTTTTTTTTCTTCCATTTTATACAGAAAAGTCAATTGTTTAATGTCTTGTGAAAATACTGCATACTGCGTATATAAAATAACTGAAGTGATAATGGAAAAACTCGCAGATAAGAATATCTTACTCATTTCTGTCTGTACATTGAACCAGCTACCTATGCATCAATTGGCTGGGTTTCTGATGCAGAATAATTGTTTTATGGATAGCTGATAAAAAGCCAATAATTTTTCTAAAGATGTGTATCTTCACATTAAGTTATCTTTGAAATATCACTGGTATACTACTTATATATCATGTCTGTGAAACATAAAAAAAATATAACTTTATTGTTTGATTGACAATTCATAATTGTCGAATTGTAGTGCATTTTAATACAATCAAAGATCTTAAAACATCAACATTAATCTAGAAGTAAAAAACTTATTGTAACTGTTTATATTTTAGGATTTATTTGGCCAATATTCAATAGCATTAATGAAAATTGGCAGTACTAGGTGGTGAAAACAAAGTCGATATGACACATTGACATTTCTCCAGTGTTACACTAGCATCATCTATTTCTTTACAGTGATCTTTCTTCAACTTTCTTGTACTTTTTTGTCTTCTGGAGAAATGTTGCATGCCACAACAACTTTGTTTTCATCATCTAGTACTGCCAATTCTTGTTCACATTATAGTTTGTACTAGGCTCTCATTTTACTTCTTGCTACAAATATCAAAAAAAGTTTTATATAAGGTTTCATAAATTACAACAAACATAAATACTGGATACAGTTACTGTTATAAAGCTTAACATAATTCATTAGTTTTTAAAAATTAAGTACCAAACAATAAAAAATATATAATTACAACATCTAACACAATAATGTATAATGTCAGGAATGGGCTTCTAATATTTTTAAAATAGCAGTATACAGATAGTTTAATACAGATTTAAGAAAAGGGGGTTACAAAATTATATGAAAATTTATATTACCTTGTTCAACACACAAAACAAACACTAATTATTTTACAAAGAATACAAAGAATAACAATATCTTTATTAGAAACAGAATAAATTTTAAACTGGAGAAATAAAAGACTTGGAACACACATATTCCTTTTTTAAATTATTATTTTTTGCCTTATTAAGATTTTTATGTTGCAGGCCCTATACGAACACACAATAGTCATTTTTTGCAGCAACAGTGTATGCCAAACTATTGGCTTGATCAAAACAATGTAAACTTCAAACTTTATAATTGTATAATACTCAATATATATATATATATATGTATAATGAAACTATAAATTTTAAATTAGGCTTAGAACTTGTTAATTATTATCTCATTAAAGTAAATATTTTTGTTCTTTTTTTAAAAACTATGAAAAGTGCTCTACTAATACCATTTTTTAAAAGTGCAGGTGCAAAAGATGATATCAAAACTCCCTGTGGAGTGAAAAGCATTACTTCCCACACCAGCTACTTCTATATGTCATTCACAAAGCTAAAGTTCCATATATTAAACCATTTCACTCATACAAAATTAAACCTTGACACACATATCAAGTTATATAATGATGGAGTGCCATTAATCCAATCTACCACAAAATAAATTTTACTCATAACATGTGCACTTAGACTGATATCTTAAGAATTTGTGATGACACAATGTTTTCTGCATTCTTGTCATTACTTTGTTTTGATTTTTTTTGTTCAGTTACAAAGTTGAATTTACTTTTATATGCAAAAATAACATTGCAAAAGGTAGACTATTGTATATTGATTATGTTAAAATGTAATATTGGGTTATTTCAACTAGAAAACCCAAAATGAGAATGAAAGATCTGTAGCGTGAGCTATTTAAATACAGAAATATTGCATGTGGGAAATTGTGCAGAGCTAGAAAAGGCACAGACTGATGGACCTCAAGGCTTACAAGTCAGTGTCAATGTAGGTAAGTAGAAGTATAGTCAACCAGCCTTGAAGACCCAATAGTCTCATAAATGTTTGTCAAAAAGACCTGGAAGTAAGACAAAGAGTACACTTTCAAGGCTACTAAACCCCACTCATCACAAAAAAAAAAGAGGTAAGAAATAAGCTACTTGAAGGAAAGTCAACTAAAATATACCCCACTCTAGAGACACACTAGAAAAGGGAACAGTAGGGCCTAAAGAGGTGAGGCAATTAGAGGTTTTACATACATATTAGAGGAAGACATTGCACACTTACAGAGAGAAGTAATGCTGCTATAAATGCAGACAAAGTACAAGACCTTGAAAACCACGAAGTGCAAGTAATGTGTCCATAATTTGAAAGGTTAACTGAACCATTACAGCCATGGAAAAGTGGTGGACAACAACTGATGACACTAACATGAGGCATGAAAAAATGCGGCAAAATACACTAATTGAAAATATCTTTGGTTCATGTAATTGCATATTTATGAAAATATTAAGGGTTTTTTTGTTAGTCTAAGAGTTGAATAACTTGGCACCACTATACTAACAAGTACATTGTAAATAATATGTCATTGAATTTTTTTGAATATAAATTTTTTTGTTTCTACTTGTTAACTTTGCTCAGTGAATTTGTATTCATTAAGGATATTATCAGATAAAATAATTTTTAGGGTTATATTCTATACTCTTCCTGCATAGTGAACATTTATTTACAAAATTAGGTATCTTACCTTGATGTATACACAGCAATGTTAAGAAAAACAACAGAACTGAGTGTAGCACTGCATCAAAAATCCACACCCAAAATACCTGGGAAAAACCATAACATTATTTCTCACAAATGTTTACGACAAAAAACACAATACTGATAAGATTCTTTTTTTTCAAATAGCTATTACTATTTTGTGCTTATAGTTCAATCTTAATTCCTATTCATTGTGTTTGAAATAGACTCATGTTGCTACAGAAAATAAGTTCTTTGTGAATCATCAGTTAAAAATAAATTAATGTGAGATAAATTATTGCATGTACTATTTTTTGTTCTTTCATATTACAACTTCATTCCTTTTTTGTTTCTCAATTATTAACCAATAGGATTGAATGTGTGAAATATTTGTGACTCCTAGTCTTGTTAGCTATTTTACAATTACTTTTCATAGATTCTTTACACTTAGGAAACTTTAATGTAGCCTATTAATGTTTTTATATTTTCTTTGCGGTCTAATCCTTTATTTTTAGATTTTAGGTATCTAGGCCTAGTGCCTAAGCTATGCACGTGTGTAACTGAAATCAGTGCAAAGTTTTAGTCATCTGTAAAACTTTGTTCTTCAGAAATCACTAGATAATTTCTTGTGTTTGTCACAAATTTTAGAAGTTACAAGCAAAAGGAGTACTTTATATTAACTGCAAATTGATGTTGATTAATCCTCTCCACACAAGTCATGGGTCAAAGGCCATGTCATGGCGTTTGTTGACCCGCATTCAAAATTTTATTGAACTATTATTTTATGAATTTATGTTAATAAGTTTGGAATCAAAATATAGATTATAATTCAAATTTTAGTATTATACATTATTTAATTTCTTAATTTAGAAGTAAATATTAAAAAAAACAACACCTAAACATAAATTTTCATGTGTCACGTGGTATGTGAATGCAGCACTGGTTCAAATTAGATGTTTGTGATGTCAAAATACAAAGCCTGTAGGTTTTTACAAATTAGGAACTCAAATTACTGATACTGACAAGCTAGAATATAAAATAAGAACATCCCATCTTTTCTATCTGCTGAGATATTGCTCATGTACTGAATCAAACACAGTGGCCTCATTCACCTCTTTCCATTTTTGGAAACACTCCCTTATGTACACTTACTTCTGTCTATACATGTGAATAACCAATTGAAAGCTCAGAATGTCCCCCTAGTGGCTTTCTCAACCATTTTAAAGTATTATGATGTTACCTTGTTCTTTCGATACAAGTACTTCAAGCTGGTTAAG